ATCAAATCAAAAGGTAAACGGTCTAAACTTACTCGATAGTAGTTTCCATTCTTCTTCATTATAACCATACATAGGTACTTTTCCAACAACATGTTTTTCATACATATCATTTGGCACTAAACACTGGATATTAGGATCAGAGAATAGCGGCTTTTCAGAATATGCCAAGTCCAACAACCGCATAATCGGTGGATAGTAGGCAGTTTTCTGCACATTAAAAGTTCTTTCCTACTCACAGTCGTCTTGAAACCTCATTATCAACTCTGGAATCGAAGAATTTGCCATACTGTTTAATAATACTTTAAAATGTGTGAAGAAAGTAACAAGCAGACGCACATATATAGAGCTAGCTATAAAAGGAAAAGAGCTGTCTAATCGTTTCTCTTAGAGATTGTCGTTTTGACGCGTTTTTCAGTGTAACACAGTCTCCCAACGCTCGGTCGAAAAAAACGCATCCAAACGCTGTTCGTCACATTAAAAACGGTGAAAAAACGCACAAAGTAAAAGTTCTACACAAATTTTTTGCACAAACGTTTCGAGATTGTGCGCACAAAAAGGCGTTGGATTGCTATGAAAACATAAAAGCGAGTTTTTCACAGAATGATTCGATAGAGCTATAATCCTTCTTCTTTTCGGCAGAAAACCGACAGATAACTTTTATAACGCATACTGTTCAGCCCTCTAAAAATATCGAAGGAGAAGTGCGTTTGTGAGCGTCGAACTGGGATAGCTATTCTTTTTAGAAAAGAATGCATACCTCTCACTCTAACTGCGTTTAGCAAACTTTTTCTCATTGCCTGAATTCAACATTCTCAACTTCTACCAAAAAATCTTCACAACTTAGTCGAAGTCGTGATTTCCAACCTCTAGTTTTTGTAACCCAATTATTAATGTAGCCACGTTACAGTTCTTTTTTTTCCGTTTTAACACTGAAACTATCGAGACAAGAAAGTAAAAGATGAAGAAGTGTAGTACTACTTAGTTAAAACTATGCCAATCGTCTGTGAACACAATTGTCGTTTTCATCGAACAGATCTATTTTGCAACCAACGGTTTCTTTTCGTTTCCACTTTCTTGTTGTATCGATATTGAGTAGACTGGATTGGCCGAAACCATTTTCGTACGTGTCTGGGTATTGTTTTTCTTTATTTGATAAAGTCCTTCTTGTGATTGTCTACGGATTAGTAAAGTGTCGTTGAGAAATTCGACTGTATTAACTGAAGTGGTCGGACAGTCATAGGTGAGTAGAGGACGACTAGGCATAGACAAACTGAAAAGTGTCAACGGACAGAAACCACTGACTAGTAAACGATCAGTCGTCGGATCAAAACGACAACAACCAATAAAGTTGATCTCACTGACGGCGGCGGCGGTGAAAGAGGTAGGTGTAAGTGTGTGACTTGGTTTGCTTGTTCTTGTTTGTTCGATGTTGTTGACTTCAAATCCCATACTTTACATGTGCCTTGAAAGAAAAAAACGAAAGAAATTCAGTGCGCTATTGTATATATTTGAATAAAAAATGTGTGAAGAGTGGAAAGTTTTTAGGAGGCGAGTGGATGTTTGGCATGAAAAACCTCTCTTTGGCTCAGAACGTGATTTTCATAGGTTTTCGCTTAATGCTCTTTCTCACAGATAGAATTTCTACGGTACGATTGTCAAGTTGCAATTGAAAACCCTGGGTGAAAACACTTGGAACTTCGAAAATTATACCATTGGAAAGAGCACAACTGAATACTAGTGAAAAGTCAGTATGGAAGTTTTTATATCACTTTTTTTAGCAAATATTCACATGAGTAACCGAAAATTGCTCACTGTGTGTCAAAGCAAACCATGCTCATTGCTGTAGACATTGTCGAAAATTCTCTCGATATTCAGACTAATCTTTTTGAGCAAAAAACATTTATCATTATTTTTCCACTTTGGAAAAGTCATTTCGTAGATGATCTGTTGTTCAATCAACAACTGTTCATTCCGGAAGTAAGATGCACGGTAGTTTCATCATAAAGATCGACTTGACATAATTCACAATGCAGGGTGACGTTATCCTAGTTCCTAGGAATTTTGAGAATTACTATGAAAACCTCGGAAACACAGTTTTAACGAAAATTTCTTGATTAAGAAATTAAAAACAATGAGAGCTATCTTTTTTATCTCTTTTCATATCTCTCTCATTGTTTTCAATTTCTTAAACAAGATATTTTCGCTAAAACTTTCCAGCAGCAGGTCAATCGATAGAGAGTTGAATTATCTACAAAATGGCTCATCTACTTTTGAGTTCTAACTTTTTGAAAAATTTCTCCAAATTGAACAAAATCACCAAAAAACGTTACAGAATTCCAGTTAGCTGGACAGGCCGTCCTCCCTTTTTTTTTACTCCCTTTTTATTTTACGAGGTAAAAATTTTCCAACACTTGCCCAGAAATCCGAGTATGACCTAAAGGATACTACATTTCTAAAACTTATGTTAGAAAAACGAAATCAATTTAGATTCTAATATCAAATAGGATATCCCATTCGGTACAGATCGACGAGAGAAATCGAATGGTCTATCGTACTTCACCTTTAGGACTGTACATGCAAAACGCGTAACTCTGCTACCGGAATCTCTGTGCGTTATCGTTTTTTCTCTTTTCGTCTATCCTGTAATATTCGGAAAGAATATTGTAGAATCCTGGAAAGCGTCTTGTTTTGTAGAATGAACTGCGTTCTTCAAAATCCACCACTAGCTCAATTCCAAATATTAGGTTGGCAAGAAAGTTTTGTCGTTTTTTTCCAAATTTTCACAGAACTTTCGAGAATGCTCTGGAAGTTTCTATAGTGAGGATATATATCGGGAGAGTGAGTAGCTATCGAACCATATAACAGCTATTGATATGGATGTTGATCGTGAAACAGAAATTAACTTGCCTCGGAGAGAGATTCGAGTGCTTTTACTGCATGAATTCTTTCTGGGTCATAAAGCAACGAAAGCAACGAACAACATATGTAGGACAATGGGCCAAGATATTATCTCCACACGTACGGCACAGCGTTGGTTCAATCGGTTCGACAATGGGGACTTTGAATTGGACGATTCACCTCACTCTGGAAGACCGACCGAAATAGATCTGGACCAATTAAAACAACTTATTGAAGACGATCCTCGGTTGACGACACGCTGCGTAGCAAAGCAGCTCGGATGCTCCCATACCACGATCGAAACACATTTGAACGAATTGGGAAAGACGTGGAAATATGGGGTTTGGATATCCCACGCGTTATCGGTCCATCAGCTTCAATACCGGCTTGATGTTTGTATGGATTTACTGACATCTCATCGTAACTACGAATGGCTGCGCAATCTCATTACTGGTGATGAGAAGTGGGTGCTGTATGTTAATCATACGCGCAAGCGTCAATGGCTTGGCGTTGGCCAAACTGCTACAGCAACACCGAAAAACGATCTCCACCCGAAGAAAGTGATGTTGAGTGTCTGGTGAGGCGTTAAAGGAATCATTCATTGGGAGCTGCTATGGATGTACCGTCACCGCCGATCTCTACTGTGAGCAATTGGATCGTGTTGCACAAAAACTCAAGGTCAAACAAGATCGGGTTTATTTTTTACACGATAACGCAAGGCTCCATGTTGCAAAGTCGACCCGCAAAAAATTATTGGAGCTAGGATGGGTTACCATTCCCATCCACCTTACTCTCCGGACTTGGCTCCTAGTGACTATCACTTGTTTCGATCTCTCTCCAATCACCTGCGTGAGAAAAAGTTCGATGACGAAAGCGAACTCAAAACGGACTTAGTGGACTTTTTCAGCTAGAAGTCTTTTACGAACGCGGGATCTTTTCTCTACCAGAGCGTTGGCGACAGGTAGTAGATAGCGATGGAGCATATATCATCGAAAACTAGGTGGATGTTTAAAAGAAAAAAAATAAAAATAAAAATTCGAAAAAAACGACAAAACTTTCTTGCCAACCTAATAATTGACGCTTTTTATGCCATACTTAAAATACGAAGAGCCCCAAAAACATTGTCGTTTGTTTTTAGGGCTTTTAGTATTTCGATTGTAATCGAAAAGTCGTCAATTATTTCGAATTGAGCTAGTAGTAGACATCTCTATCTTTTTTCTCTTTCAAAATAAAAACCTTTCAAAAACATAGTTTCTGCAAAGCAAAGTTCATGTGTTCGAATCTCTATTCGTACATTGATTTTGTGTTTTTGGATAGTTTTAGTTTAGAATACTATAATGGAATATTTTTCCGCTTGTATTCTGACAGAATAAAGCTTATATCAAAAACAAAAAAAAATTCTGTATTAAAAAAAAATATTGTGTTTTCCACTATCATATCAAAGTTTGAAAGATACAGAAAGAAATGGTATATTCATGGGGTTTGTATGTTGGTTTTAATTTTGATGCGTGTGGATTTTTAATACTGGACGCCTTAGGTATACTTGCTTATTTACTGCGTTATCGTGAAAAAGTATTTTGGAGTATGATTAGCCACATGTTTGGCATTGAACGCACTACTGTTGAAGGAACTACATCAGCAACAAAAAAAGAGATTCATGTTGAGATTCAATTATTAAAGAGAACATATTGATTTAACCAAGCGTGGTAATTTTCATAAGTGTGCAATACTGGTTATCACTGCAAGCGTTATATCTGCTGCATTAATGATTTTCTTTGATGGAATTATATTGGTCATTGATTATGTAAATACAGGCAATGATTGTCCTTCCGATGGTACAATGGATTGTTATGCTGCTAATACACGTTATTTTTCGTGCACAACCGGAATAAAAATGGATCCATTGCTTGGTAGTGTAACGTGTTATCGAATGCTGATGTACTGAATCAAAATGGTGTCTGTAGTGGTTTAATCAGTATTCTAAATATTTTTGTTAAAATTTTTTTACGTGTATTACTGTATGTGTTTCGACATCGTAATCTTGTGTCGCTGAACAGCGGTGGTACTAATTCAGCAGCTGACACTTGGTATATTTGGAGGGAACTTCAACAAAAATTTGTTCATCCGTGGTGGATTATTGTTATATTAATCGTTTATTTTATAGTTCTTCCAGGTGAACTGATTGTAGCTCTTGTAACTCTAATAAATAAAAAATTAGTATAACAGACTTAACGCTCATTCTCTTATGGGTTGCATTTATTATCTCTACAGTGGCTCCTGTTGAGCGATGAACCTTTAGAATCAGTATCAGACGAATCAGACGTGGTCGGCAATGAACGAAGAGAAGTAAGAGTTACTACTCAACTATCGGAAAGGCAAAGAAGAGATGAGGTAATCGTAGAAACATTAGAGTGAGTGCTTGAGGATTACTCGGTTTAGTACACCTAGAAGATAGTCGTTGTTTCTTATTTCGTTTGCACTATTTTTTGACTGTCTGTCTTTTTCCACTTGCTGTCGCCAAAGACGAAATTCTGAACTATTATTTTTCTTATGGAGGAAGTTGCACCACAATATCCAGATAGATGGTGCCAGTTATTAAAGATATGGAAAAGAAGCTTTT